ACTGAAATACAATGCATAATTTTATCAGTTAAATGTTATTAACTACTGTTAAATTCGGAGAAACAAACAGGCCGCGCTTTTGGACTTCGATTTGGTTGAAACTCTGGGATTGAACCTGAACATAATTTCATAGTCAGTCGCGTTTACGTATAATCTACACATTATGTACTCAGATTTTACTCCACAAATGACACCTTATGATGTGCGATTTTATCACTATTGTGTCGACTAATCTTTTTACGGATAGGTATGTTGTAGAACACATCCCATAGTTGTTAACATTACAATCTGCAAATCGGAAGGCCAGTGAGACAGTTGGAAAATGTATGAATAATGCATCTAATATACTTATAGCGGAAAACAAAGTTGTCAGCCGGGTTCATACGAGAACTTTTCACTAACGAAATACAACTTTAAGTCTGTGTGTGTAAACTGACGTTCCTCCTTCACGATGTGATGTCATAAACAAACAAAAAACTTGTACACTTCGGTCCTAAAAACAACATGAATTTTTGCGCTCCGAAACAAAAGTTTTGGCAACATTTTATTTGTGTTGCTAAGAGACATTATAAGATATTATTTCAAGATTTATTTGTTCGACGGAAATCGACGGCCTATGTGGCGTCATTTTTTATAACTTTTCGTCGCGTCACTAGTATATACAGAGGGTGTTTATGTTTAGAGACGTTGTTTTGATGCCAGCATAACAGCTATTTTAGTCATCTAATATTTAATACGATTTTATTAAGTTGACTGACGAACTCTGTTATAAAATCTAGAATCTGAATTACACTTGCTTGTAACTGTTGTATCATCATGAAAATTGGCAATTATAATTAGTGGTGTAGGTAGATAAGATGAACATACAATATTATAGAGCTACCATCTGGTCTGATAGCGGAATTAAAAAATGGCTGATGGTACCTGGATGGTTTAAGTGTGGGAGACCCATGCTTCGGCACGAATGGGTCGGCTCGACCGGAGTGATACCACGGCCGAGCAGAAAACCGACGTGAAACAACGCTTGCGTTGTGTTTCGTCGTGTGAGTGAGGTTACTGGAGGCCCAATTACCCCCTCCCTAGTTTCCCCAACCCTCGAATCCTCCCCAATCCTCAAATTCCGAATTCCCAAAAGGCCGGTAACGCACTTGTAACGCCTTGGTGTTTCAGGTGTCCATAGGCGGCGCCGATTACTTACCGTTTTTTCAACTACTTATGTATATCTAAGTTTATCGCAATTAAGTGAGAATCATTTATAAAACACGACATACTGCCAATTTCAATAAACTATCTTAATCCAAAATCTGTCGATATAGATCGATTATTGACAGTAGTTGTACGGAGTTTCTGTCAATAACCGATCTTAATCCACACATTTTGGATTGAGACATGTTATAGAAATTGGCAGATAGTTGATTTTAACTAAAGGCGGGTCATAATCAGATTTAAAAATAGAATGCGATATTTCTGTCATTTGTTTTTATTTTTCATAGTTGTAAAGGCGGCAATAATTTGGATTTAGAAAAGGAAAAAGATATATTTCTGCTCTTGTCATTTTGTGTCTGACGTCATTGACATGTCATTTGTTTTTTTTTGTCGTGTTCTAGAGGCGGCAATAATTTGAATTTAGAAAGAGATAACGACATATTTCTGCTCTTGTCATTTTGTGTCTGACGTCATTGATGTGTCATTTGTTTTTTGCATTGTTCTAGAGGCGGCAATAATTTGGATTTAGAAAGAGAAAACGATATAATATATACTGCTCTTCTCAATTTATGTCTGACAGCATTTACGTGTCAATTGTTTTCTGAATTCCAAATACTACTGAGTGCAACTAGATACTTGACCCGTCATTTCTAAAGCAGTTTGTGTGGGAAAAGATTGACGATTTTAGTAGAAATGCCATTGCATTTTTTTATGTTTTAAATTCCCACTACACTAAAAAAAATGTATCTATTATTATTATTTCTAATAATAATTTATTTTTCATAAACTGCGTTTAAAAAAACAATTTCAACCCCCTCTCTTTTAGTTCAGTCGGTTATAATATAAGTACTAAAACCTTCTAAATATAAAAAAACTTTTCTGAAAACCACGTTAAATTCGGTTTTGCCAATCGCAAGATAATCACCATCACAATAAGCGGAGAACCTAACGGATAACCGGGGCTCTGGCTCGACGTGCAGGAGCAAGAATGGGTTGGTTTTTAGTTAGTAAGAGTCTGACACTCCCTCCTGCCTCACCCAGGCGGGAAAAGCCATTCGATGATTATCCCCCTTGAAAAAACATCAGTATCATTTCAGTGCATCATGAAGGCAGTTAATAAAAATTAGGTATATATTAAAATACGTGCACTTCACCTATTATGTATAGTTATTAGTAGATCTAAAGAACGTATACCTATTGAAATATTAGTGTTAGGTATGTTAAAAGCGTATACAGACAAGACGTCGATGCACATTATACAAATACAAAAATGTATCAAAAATATTCATGTTAAAAAAGTTTTGTTTTATCTGAATAAAAGGCTTATATTATATTATTATGTTTTATGCAAACGAAATATAAGTAAAAAGAGAAAGGGCTATCGACACACTCATTTATTACATCTTCTGTTTTTTTTTAAATTCGCGGGCTCAGCCACGCTCTTAGATAACTATCGCCATAGACTATTTATGACCATAGAGTATACCACAGATACACAACAATTAGTATTGTATACTGAGTTCAATATTTAAAATACGAATATGACCTCATTTGACCCCTGTTACTGTAACCCACATAATACACACATGCGGATGTTAAGAGGATTAAATTAGTGATTGTAGCCCAATCTAAATACTAGTGCCGTCCACAAAACTAGATTAGCATAAATCCAAAGTTTCAGAAGTGATTTATATGCACACATGAATTACGTAGTTATAAGTAAAATGCATATTAAAGCATAATAATATTATTATTAGGTCTATTTTTGTATATACTCCTACTTGAAGTAACTTTAATAATCCTGTAGGTATTTATTGAACGCAAAGTTATTGATAAGCGGGCAACGAATTGCAAAATAATAAAAAAAAAAATTAACTATTGGTTTATTAAGTAAAAACGCGGGTTACTCACGTGAATATACTGAGAAAAGCTCTACTAGTTTCGAACCACAGAGGGGTTCTTCCTCATGAGCAGCGTGCGCGGTCGCGGCGACG